TAGCAGGAGATTAGTACGTGGATGTGTGCCATGTGTAAACCACTTAAAACTGTGACTAGGCTTGGAGCAGCGCTTTCCCTCCCACAGTCCTGAATCACCAGCTGATTGCTCCAGCATCACTTCCTGCTTGGTGAGTTGCACGTGGGTCTCATCTCCATCACTGCTTACGCCACAGCAGAGGATGGGCTCCAAGGCAGTCGGTGTTGGCCCCTTCCATAGCCCTCCACAAGAGGAGGGGGCAGCCATCGGGCAATTTGCAATGAGTAGCCTTCTCAGGGCCTGTTTCTCTTTTCCTCAGCACATATGTATTATAGGCTGAGTGAAAAAGAAACCTCCAAGAATATTTTTTTTTAAATCATAGGGGAAAAAAGGGCATTTACACATCATCTTTTAAGTGATTTGTTTTGTTTTTAAGACAAAGACTCTGTATCTAGCCCTGGCTATCCTGCAAGTCACTCTGTAGACCAGGCTTCCCTCTAACTCACAGAGATCTGCCTGCCTCTGCATTCTGAGATTAAAGCCATGAACCACTACACCTGGCTTGCCTTGTATGTAATTCACTTCTGATCTCTCATCTCTGTACCCAGAATTCATGCACGTGTAAATTAGATGGTGTGATGCTGAGGGCAACCAGAAGCTCAGAACACTAGTGCAAGCTGCAGGGTTTCCCAGGAAAGGGCTGAGGAGAGCGCTTCAGGCACAGTGAAGCAATACTGTACACATTACTGCAAATGCCACACACTAATCTTGATCAGCATTCAAGGCTCCCCATTGCTTCTGCAGGAGCACCTGCAAACACACTTCCCTGCCTGGAGCCCGACCTTTGGAGGCTTGTGGGCAGCCTGTCATGCTCAGATGACAAGGGTCTCGTGCCTCTGATTCTTCTGTTCCAGTGTCAAGTACTTCAGCCTATACTCCAAGACAGTCCTGTGAATGCCTCCATACACCCCTGTTGGACTGTCTCTTCCAATGTCACAACTCCTGCCTTTTCTGTTTCTGCCCTTCCCTGTACAAGCAGTTACTGCTGATACGTGGTGAGCACTGACTCTGGGCTAGCACTTGCGCTGCTGTCTGTGAGTTATTTAAAGCTTCCCATTAGCAGATAGGGAAACTGAGTCACAGAGGGATTTAAGTCGCTTGTCCACAGCCATGGAGTTGGCACTGGCCCATTCCCTGGCACCCCCACCCCTCCGGAATGAACCTCAGTGCCTTCAGACCTGACCCAAGATCACTTCTCAGAAAATACTCTTCCTAACTAGTCATTCTGGTGTGGTCCTGCAGTGCTTGTGTCTGCTCTACTGGTTCATTGTGTGGCTCTGTTAGTCTTCTGTGTCCCTCACATGACCCCTGAGTCTCGTTATATCACCAATCCCAGAGTCTAGTTTTGTAGTCTAGAGCCTGGAGTCAGGGTCTATCATTTCCCAACATTCAGGAAGGGGCTGCAGACCAAAGGCAAGAAGGACATGGAAGAAACTCCTCATTGAGTTTACTTTCTTTGTGGCAAAGATTAAAGCCACTGGTCAAGAAAGTGCCTTTGCCTCAACTGATGACAATATGTCGTCCAAATTGGACAAACAGGACACCAAAGAAAGTTATTACAAACCTTGCCAAGATAAGGTGGGGCAGTCCTTCAGAATATCCTGCTTCACAGAAATGTCTGTCGGATATGCTAGTCCAATAGGCAGAAGATGGATGCCCAACATGTCTGTCAGATATGCTAGGCCTATAGGCTAAAGATGGATGCACCACCGTTGCAGAGAGAACTTGAGTGACTGTCCAGGCAGCCAGCTGTTTCTGTCATTTCTTACACTTTTCGGAAGTCGCTTGTTTGCACTTCCTGTTCACTCAGTTAATAATAATTCCTTCTCAGGTCTCCGAGGAAGCTAAAGACTAGATAGATAGTTATAGTTTTCCTTGTTTACCAGACTCAGAAAAGAGACTCACTAAAGATGTGTAAAGTGTAAAATGTTGAGAGACATTAAAAGATAATTTGGTAGTGCATATTAGAATAGAAAGTAAATTAGGTACAAGATTTTAGACTCACCAAGATAGGATAGATAATGGAATATTTTCTCTGAGTTTGTCAAATGCTAATGGACTAGACATTGTTGGTACTTATTACCTGTATATAGATATTGTACTTATTATATATAATTTTTCATATATTAGTTATAACTTTTTTGTTTTTAGATAAAAAAGGGGATATGTGGTCATCTTGTTTGTACAAATAAGGTGTACCTGTCCAAGGCATGCCAGAACTAGGGTGAGTGTGTCACGGTGAGACAGGGACAGGTCCTGGAGGGAAAAGTGAGATGCTAACCAACCCTGAGCTTCTCCAGGGTGACCAGGGGAGCAGAACAGGCCACCTGGGGACATGAGCCTGGAAAAAGCAGCCAGCCAGGGGTCAAGAGAGTCTGTTTTAAATCAGGGATGACAGAGCAATTAAGGCTATCTTCAACTGTCCCCAGAAGTTCCAAGTGTCTGTGCCCTTGTACAGGCAGCAATGAAAAGACAACGCCACCCGTTGAAGACTTGGGGCTGGACTTGAGGGCAGTAGGCAGCTGCAGCCATCTTGATCCCAGCTTTGCACACCTCCCCCTAAGGTGGCTTCCTTGGCTCCATCTTTTCAAGCATCCTGCTCACCCCAGACCTTCTCAGAGAGTCTCGCCATGCTGTATTTCCTCTACTAAATACAAACATCTGCCCAGAGTACTCCAGGCCCTCTAACCTCTTCTGAGCACTGGTCTTCCAAGCCATCTCATTGTCTACTGCTGAAGCCCAGGTGCGCTCCTCTCATGGACACTTTCTCTCACTCTCGAGGACACATCCCCGTAACTTCTGCCTCTCTGGCACGTAGTGGAGCAGCAAAAACACATGGACTTTGCTTCCATTACTTCCTGTATGTCTTCAGACAAGTCATGCAATGTCTCTGTGCTTCTAGCTGCTTACCCCTCAGACACTTCAAAGAGTGCTGTAAGAAATAGAGCATTTAGGTTCAGAGCGTCAGTCATACCACAGGTGCTCAACAAATGGCGTCCTTCATACTATGCTCTGGTGTTCTCCAACATAGATGCTTCCCTGTGACTAGCAGTTCTTCTTTGTGTGAGTCTCCCAGTACACCTGTGCTTGCAGAAGCCCCTGCACACCTCACCTGGCAGACAGGGCTGGGGAAACAGTGCATGGAGGTCCCATCAAGCATAGCCAGAACTCAGGCCTTGTTAGCCCTTTAATCTGTATGCCATGCATCCGTCTCCATGGTTACAACATTTTGAAACAGCTGTCCCCTCCACCCAATCCCAGATCTCCCTGTCCCAGGCTCTGTTCCCCACATAGTGGCTTCTGAGTAGTTGGCTGGGAGATTTATCAGGAGTAGGATTGCACTGTATGCCACTCACACTGGTCCAGTAGAATGACCCTCTGGGAAAGGCTCTTCCTTCCCTGCCCTCTCCCCTCTCCCCTGTATGCTGAATTTGAGGCTCTTTCCCAGGCCTTCCTGGAGAGCTGTAGCTCCACCCCTCTGTATCTCAGCCTGTAGTGTTACTGTCAGCGAGCACCACAGACTGGGTAATTGAAGGAAGAAGAAAAGGCTAGTTCCCATGCTTTTGGAGACAGGAAGTCCACTGTCAAGGTGACAAGTTTAGTGTCTGGGAGCTCACCTTGTTGCAACATCCTCCAGAGGGAAAGAAGGCTGTGTCCTCACAAGTAGAAGGCACAGGAGCAAACTGTGCAGACTGATGTATAAACCTCTTTTAAGCCAGGTGAAGTCACAGGCCTGTAAGCCTGTCACTTGGGAGATGGAAGAGGATGAACAGGAGTTCCAGGCTAGCCTGAGCTATGTAGCTCAGGAGACTCTGTCAATAAACAAATAAAATAATAATAACAATAATAATAATAATAATAATAATAATAAATCCTCATCCATTCGTGGGGAAGGAGTCTTCACAGCAACATCTGGAATTAGGAGGGACACATTTGAACAATAGCAGACAACTTCAAGCTGAATGTGATGGTCTGTGACTTTTAATCCCAGAACTCAGGAGACAGAGGCAGGAGGATCTCTGAGTTTGAGGTCAGCCTGATCTACATGGCGAGTTCCAGGACAGCCAGGGCAACATAGTGAGATCCTGTGAAGAAAAAAAAAATGGTGCCTGGAAGTGGACATTTCCCACCTGCTCTCTTAGAGAACCCTCAGTAGATGTCTGTATCTTCACAAAGTGGAACTCCTGAGCTGAGTTCCCTGGAGAAAAGGAAGGGAATATAGGTGGAATGACCTCCAGTCAGAGGACATGTTATGATATTTCCAGCTGTGTCCTGCCACAAATATTTGTCCAGGTCAGAAGGAAGACTGTGCCTCTGTGAACATGCCAGAGCTCCCTGCCCATGAAGTCAGCTTCAAGAGAGGCCCAGACCACAATGGCCTCCCTCTGGACACACAGGAGATGCCAGTCTTGGAACCTATCAACTCTTCTGTGTGTGTGTGTGTGTGTGGGGGGGGGGGGGTG